ACTTTGGGTGGTACAGCAGTGAGTTGGGTCTCTCAGTTACAGAAGATTGTGGCTCTATCGACTACAGAAGCTGAATATGTTGCAATTACAAAAGCTAGCAAGGAGATGATTTGGTTGCAGCGTTTTTTGGAAGAATTGGGTAAGAAGCAAGAGAATAGTATTTTGTATAACGATAGTCAGAGTGCTATTCATCTTGCTAAGAATCCCGGGTTCTATTTTAGAATAAAGCATATACATTTGAGGTACCATTTCATACGCTTACACTTAGAGGATAAAGTTTTATCACTTGAGAAGATTCATGGGAGTAAAAATCCAGTAGATATGTTAACCAAGGCAGTGACAATTGAGAAACTGAAGATTTGTTTAGCTTCAGTTAGTGTTCAAGCTTGAGGACAAATGAGTGAATTGCTGTGGTGTTTTGCTATGTATGAAGGCATGTGGGAGTTGACAGTTTGATGTTTATTAGTCTCCATGTGGGAGACTGATGGGTAGTGTAGAGCTTGATAGATACTGTACACCAAGGCCCAACTTATTTGGTGGGTATTTTGGTTATTTTCGCACTTGTTATGTTACCCTAGTGCGAGGGTATTTATTTATACTGAACTCTCTGTATCTATAGCTGTTTTTATCATCATAGTGAAATCCCTGCAACCCTTGGATGTAGCCCTGAAACTTGGGTGAACCAAGTAAAATCTGTGTGTGTTCTTGTTGTGTGTGCGTTTAATCTATTTCTTGTATTTTTCTGTTTAATTTCGTGTGATACCCCTCGGATCCGAGATACGGGTTGATCAGGCCCAGGCCCAAACCCGAGGGAATATCAAACAATTAATATTTAAAATGAACACAGATTACAAAACTGAATATGAAATAATTAACAGCTGAAAGAAATCTAAAATAGAGTCCTTTAAAAATTAATAACTTAAAATCCAAAACCCCCAATTATTTAAACAACTCGGGAATCCATCCATTGGACCCCTAATACAAAAATCCAAACTGAAGTATAAATAATAAAAACATCCAAAATGAAACCATGGAGAGAAGTCCTACGTCGTCGTAAGAGTGAATAGAAATCTTTGCTCAGCACGATCAGGTCTAAGTCTAGAACTGACGAGTACCTGAAAAATAGAAGTGGGTCAGGCCTACAAACAAGTTCTATCCTACTATAATCCAAACAGAGACTCGATACGCATATACATTCTAACCAACTCAACAATATCTATATAGTCTGTACATATTTATATATCCACACTATAGGACTCTTACTGGACTATGCAGGGGGTCTCAACCTGAGTAGAAGGTAACATGCAAAGCGCACCTGAGTGGACATGAGTACCTAAGCCTAACAGGGTATACCTCAACCTAGCATATCCAGCTACGCATCCTACTGCATATACGCTCCCTAACCGACGACTTTGAGACTCAAGCTCATATCGCGGTACCATAAAAATATATTTAAAGTCCTATCCTATCCATCCATAAGAAATCCAGTTAGTCATTCAGCTTGTGCAGCTTCTTTGACTTAACATAGATAACAAGCAATCTAGTTAGTCATTTAGCTTGTGCAGTTTATTTGACATAAGTAAAGGTAGGATTTATTTTAGAATCCATTCCCTTATTCCGTGTTGGTAGGATTTAGTATTTTGAAACTAATCCAAACCTAGGCATGCCACTGTCCCATACCGGTGCATGTAATCCAACATCCAGCAGTTGACAATACCAATAAATAAGTAAATACTAACTATTCCATAAGTCCACAATTAATAATATTATGTTAAACATAGGCATCAATTGTACCATATCAAGTATGATAAAATCTTATAATTTAATAGGCTTATACATACTACTTTTCAAGATCCAATAATTGACTATTCTGGACGTATATGTAAACCAATATATTCCAAGTAAGCACAACAGAGTATATAACTTCACAGGCTTAGTTTTCAAGACACTGGAACTTAAATAATTACAGAACCATCAATGAGAATTGCTATACTAAGATTAAGCAATTTCAAATCCTTTCCTCCCCGAAACAGTAAACTAATTTATTAGAATTATCTACTGTTCAAGTATTGTCATCATGACAAATAGAAACCTGTACATTTTCATACTTATATGAGATTACTGAAACATATTAACTGTAATCCGTCACGGAGAATTGTTGTACTAAAATTTAGCAATTTAAACTCCTTTACATCCATGAACCGTAGTCTAGCTTATTTTAAATTTGTCTACGGTGTAAGCAAAAACACCTATTTGGTTTAATTTTTGATTAGCCTATTCACTGAAGTTTTAATAGAGCTTAGAACCTCTCTGATTACTCCCAACACAGCTTATACTGAACTTGCTACCTTTAAGAATTAAGCCCCTAAGCAACAGAATCGCTGGAACGTAAAAGAAAACTAAACAGAAAACGAAAAAAAGAAAAATAAAAATGGATAGAGCAGGCTCCAAAACAAGTGGAGCCGCCTCCATCCTCTTGGAGCCGCCTCCATAAGTGTGTGGAGCCGCCTCCACAAGTGTGTGGAGCCGCCTCCAAGTGCCTTAGAGCCGGCTCCGCCCTTGTGGGGAGCCGCCTCTTTCCCCCTCTCTTTCTATCTGCTTGTTTCCTTTAACTGTGTCCTCTCCGGTGACGTCCAGTTTTATCAGTCCTCAACTTTAATGGTTTCTACTGATTAAAATTAAGTTCTAATGTCCCAGATATTTTAAAACCATTAATCTTAAATCCACTATAATTAGAACAGAAAAATTCAAGAAAGAAGTAAAACAAGTAAATACGAAACATGCAAACATATACAGTTGCAAAACGAACCTAAACATGCAAACCGGATTAAAATTAACACTTTCCAGTGTGTTACAGACTAACTCAACTCTTTATATAGCAATTTACATGAAATATACATCCAGTTACGTGAATTATTTTATGAGTTACATAACGAAAAAATTATTAAACAAGCAGTACAACTCATGGCTACGTTCAGTTTAAACAACAGAGATATGAAAACCACTTTATATTTAATCCTTATACATTCCTGAAGTTGCATTAGACATGCAAAGAACACGAGTCAAAGGAATAGAGTTAGGATTAAAACTTGCCTTACACCGACGTCTTCCTAAATTCTCCGGCGAAATCTCTGTTTGCCCTCTTTGGTTTCTCTCTGCCTCTATAGTCGTGAATAGGGTTCTAAAACCCTAGGCAGATTCTTAAGACACATATTTATAGGCCCATAAGATTACCCTAATTCTAGTCCTAATACTAAACGGAAATTAGAGGTCGGCTACAGGGTGAAGAAAACCAAAACCCTAACTTAATCCTGCTAACGTATTTACATACTTAAATAAATACAATAAATCCATTAATACTTAATTAAATCATTTAACAATCAATTTAACAGTTAAATCACCAAATAAAATAAAAATAATTAAATCAAAATTTACAATTACAATTAAGTCAATTAAATAATTAAAATCCAATTAATTAAAAATAACAAGTAATTAAACTGTTAAACAAATAAATATACACTTGAACAATTAAAAATGCAACTTAACAATTAATTAAATAACATGACCATCATTTTAAAATTAGAGGTATTACATTTCGCAACAACTCCTCAGCATGAGGTCTTCCAAAGGAGGAGAGGCCAAGTACTTAAAGCTTTGTGTTGGTGGATTCCTTACTCAGAAGGTTTGTGGTTCACATCACTTTTACCTCAATCTCTCGCCTCTTTGATCTTCATCATTTTGATTACTGTAAGTACTTCAATCAGTGTAGATTATTGATTTGATGATCGATCTCTGATTTGATCTGCTGTACCGTTGTGTTGTGTTATGTGTTGTATGTTTATGTAATTGATCAATAGGAAGCGTAATGGCGACAAAGAGGAGTGTTGGAGATCTGAAGGAAGGTGATTTGAAGGGTAAGAAGGTGTTTATGAGGGTTGATGTGAGCGTTCCTTTCGACCACAATCTTAACATCATCGATGATACCAGAATCCGAGCTATTGTTCCCACCCTCAAGTACTTGATGGGTCACAGTGCTAAAGTCATCCTCTCTTCTCATCTGGTATAACCACACCGACTGTTTTTTTCTTCCTTAAATTAAAATTTGATTCTATATATATTTATTTTTGTACATTTCTCTTCACTAGACAATTATATATATATATATGAGTAATGCTTGGATCCTGCTTTATCAGGACAGGAATTGTCTCCAAGCTAACTTGGCCCAATAAGAATTTGCCACATACCCATTTCATTAAAAAAAAATATAAAGTATGGGTTATATGTATGTCTCTGTGTGTGTATATATATATATATGAGTCTATATATGTATCTGTGTGTGTATATCAAGTTTGTCAATTTGTCTTTTAAGGGGCTATATTATCTTTTAATACTGATATTTTTGGGAAAAAATAAATAAAAAAAATGAGGGTAGACCAAAGTTAAAGGGTCAAACTAAAGTCAAATGATAAGATTATTTTTTTACATATAAAAAGTGGTCTGACACACTTGTCAACTAATTTTTAGGGTGTGAGTGAAAAACGGAGTAAACGTTTATAATGTGAGTGATAGTTATTTTCGAAAGATGTTTGAGACTTATATTTGAGCAAATCTCAGGGAATGTAGTGAAATTATTCCAAAAATTAAATAAATAAGTAAATAATAACTACACCACCACTAAAACAAACTCAAAAATAAAAAAAAATTTATAAATTAAAATCTAAAAAAAATTCAGGTTATCACAGGATACTCCCTAGTTTTGTTCAATTTTGCCATCTCCTAGAAGGGTACATGTCTCGGTGAAATTATACTAGTAATTACATGTTCAATTTTGCCATCTCCTAGAAGGGTACATGTCTTAGTGAAATTATACTAGTAATTACATGAGAGAGAGAGAGAGAGAGAGATGAAGGTCCAAAACATATGAAAGTAGATGGGGCCATATATGAGAATCTTCTTCACAGCAGCGCTTTGTAATGTCTGACTGAGACTATACCAAGTCAATGGTTTTGAATTGGAAGCAGTCCATTATGAAACAACCCCTGTTTTACAAAAACTTGTTACTGCTTGCTACTCACATTGTTTTTCTCCTATGTATACATGATCACCTCCTCTCATATGAGTCATCACCCCTATTATAATCTCTCTCTCTCTCTCTCTGTCTCTCTCTCTCTCTCTCAATATACATATATATCTAAACGAGACTTTATTTGTTTACTTTTTTGACTCCAACGTCTTGAAGTTCAGACACTCCTAGTTTGGAAGTTTCAGCTCATGCTCCCAAAGGAGTAGTGGCGGAGTACTTAAAGCCTTCTGTCGGGTAGATTCCTTACTCAGAAGGTTTGTGGTGTCACATCACTTTTAGCTCAATCTCTCGCCACTTTGATCTTCATCATTTTGATCACTGTAAGTACTTCAATCAGTGTAGATTATTGATTTGATGATCGATCTCTGATTTGATCTGTAGTACTGTTATGTTGTGTTGTGTTGTTATGTTGTTGTATGTTTATGTAATTGATCAATAGGAAGCGTAATGGCGACAAAGAGGAGTGTTGGAGATCTGAAGGAAGGTGATTTGAAGGGTAAGAAGGTGTTTGTGAGGGTTGATGTGAGCGTTCCTTTCGACCACAATCTCAACATCACCGATGATACCAGAATCCGAGCTACTGTTCCCACCCTCAAGTACTTGATGGGTCACGGTGCTAAAGTCATCCTCTCTTCTCATCTGGTATAACCCACACTAACTTTTTTTTCTTCCTTAAATTAAATTTTGGTTTTATATTTATTTTTGTACATTTCTCCACTAGACAATTATATATATATATATATATACATATATATATATATATATATATATATACATATGTTTATTTGAATTTGATAAAAAATTTCTTATATACCGCCTTTTTTTTTTTTTGCTTGAATTTTCTTGTTATCTAGATCTTGGGTTCATTTCTTTGTGTAGCTTGTCTTAGCACATGTGGGGATGTTAGAACAAGATCTTTTAAGAAGATTACTACAATCATCACTCTTTAAACGGGTGGAAATCAAAGGAACACAAGTATTTTACAAGTATCACCCTCTTGAGAAAACTCAGTAGAAGAAAGAGGGGATTATTACATATAAAAGGTGTTAATGGTCCATATCTATCATTTGATGCCGTTGAAGTTTCATAATTTCAAAAAAATAAAGTTGATCAAAATGTTGACGTGATCATAGAAAAACACTATTTACTGTCACTGAAGTATCACTTTTAGGCACATAGGTATCACTTTTTGTCCACGTAAGTACCAAGAGCGGCTCCAAAAATGTATAATGGGTTGGCTAGTACTACTAATTTTGTTTTTTTTGGATTGAGCTAAAATTACCTCTAGTAAAAATATATATATTTTTCCTTTTGGGGTGGGCTCAAGTCCACTAGAGCCCACCCTTGGAAGGTACCACTTTTGTGCATCATGTACTATTAAAAAGTGGTACCTAAATGTAGGGGTGGCAAATTAAGGGTTTGGGTTTGATATAAACTGGTTTGGGTCATAAAAAGGTCGACACGATTAACCCGTTTACTTAACCGTATCGGGTTAGGGTTGAGGGGTTCAACCCATGTAACCCGTTTATGATTCATTTAACTTAACATGTTATAATCGTGAATATGACCTATGTAATATGTTACCTGTTTAAACCTAATCACTATGGATAGTTAAGTCATTTCTATATAAATCTTGTCTATGTTTTATGATTTTTCTTTTTATTTTGAATATTTGGATTATTTATGGCAATTTTCTTCTATTATTTAGTATTTGATTAAATATTAAATGTCTTGTTTTGATAAATATGTTATTACGTTTACCTGTTTAATAAACGGATTGGGTTAGTGTTGAGGATTCTTGACATGATTATTAAATGGGTTAGGTTTGGGTTTATTTATTTAGTATAATACCCCTACATCGACACGACACGAACACGACCCACGAACTCGAATTGCCACCCCTATCTATATGCCTAAAAGTGGTACCTCAATGAGCAGTGTTTTTTCATGTCTTCATTTTTTTCGAACTTTGACTCTATCAAATGGTAAATATAGGTTATTAGTACCATTTATATATAATAATCCCTAAGAAAGAATAATTTGAAGAATAGGGGGATTAACCTCAGAATTGAATAAACAGCTCTTGGAGGAGTTCAAACAAAGCCCAGAAAGATCACTAAATGAAGACATAGCACCTAACAGAACATTAATAGAAAGAGGATCACCAGCCGAGAACAAGAATATATCATCAACAAAGACCAAGTGAGTAAGATTAAAAACAGAACATTTACAGTGAGACTTGAACTGCTGTTGATGAGAATTAGCAGTCAGAAAACCAGTAAGAACTTCCACGACCATAACAAAAAGATAGGGTAGCATAGGATCACCTTGCCTATGGTCACGCTCACTCCCAATATAACCCTCCAAACCCATTAATGTTGACAGAAAACTTGGGAGAAGAAATACAAGCAAAAATCTAGTTAATCATTTTAGCAGGAACATGAAGAGCTTCCAGGACTTTCACTAAAAATTCCCAAGAAACAGTATCATAGGCCTTCCTAAGATCAATCTGAAGGACAACCCGAGCCGGACCATGGTCCCTATGGTAATTCAGCAGTAACTCTTGGGCTAAGAGTATATTGTCAGCAATTAATACGCCGTCCAGGTATAAATGCAGCTTGGGAAGGGCTAATGCAGCTATGTAAAGCTGCTTTTAACTTACTATGTTACTAAGTGCACTTGGACCTTTCTGTTGCTAGGGTGATTTCATGTTCTATATTGCTTCTTTTATGCAATACGAGTTAAATATAGTTGCAGTGGATTTCTATTCCTTTTCTTTTTTGTGTTAGTTATATTACTTATATGTTTACATGTGGTAACTATATATATGTTACTCATAAATTCATAATCTTGAATTGTGGGCTTACTTACTTCAGGGGCGCCCAAAGGGTGTCACACCAAAGTACAGCTTGAAGCCTCTTGTGCCAAGGCTGTCTGAACTCCTTGGAGTTGAGGTTCGTTTATTTTTATTTAAGTTGAGCATCTTTTTTCTGTTGTTTGCCTCCTTTTTCTAATGCTCACCATGTTTATGTACGCCTTAAAAAGGTCAAGATGGCAAATGACTGTATTGGTAAAGAAGTTGAAAAAATGGTGGGTGAAATTCCTGAAGGGGGTGTTCTGCTTCTGGAGAACGTGAGATTCTACAAAGAGGAAGAGAAGAATGATCCAGAATTTGCAAAGAAGCTAGCATCCCTTGCAGATCTCTATGTTAACGATGCATTTGGCATTGCTCATAGAGCCCATGCTTCCACAGAAGGAGTGGCCAAATACTTGAAGCCTTCTGTTGCTGGAATCCTTATGCAGAAGGTTTGTGGTTCGTGTCTTACATTGGCTCACATCTCTTTTAGCTCATTCATTTCTTCAAGAAATTATATCCATCCATATAAATAAATGAACAAAAACATGGATTAATCCGAAGTTCAAACTTACATGAAGCGAATTTTAACTCTCTGATAATTTATTTGGACAGTAAATGATGGTCTTCAAGGATTCCCTATTTTTGTTATTATTGGGCAGTTATGTATATATAATGTTTTGGTTGATTGGTTATCTGAAAGTGCCAATTGCAAGTAGCTTCGTGGTCGGGTATAGAAGCCAAAAAGTTGAAGGGTTGGTAGACCAAATTAAAGATTGTTATGTCCACTCACAGTTAGGATTTAAGAGGTATGAGTTGAGCTGAGTTTGGCTTAAATTGAGATTAAAATGCTTGTGCTCCAGCTGGGCTTGTTTAGCTCAGAATAAGCTTGACAAAAAGGTGATGAATATATGAAGCTGAGGTTAAGCTGTTTTAAGCGGATTAATTTCATTTTTAAGCTCTGGAAAAGAGGAGACTGATATCCGAATTTCTAGTCATTGGGTTAAATAGGTTTAAAACTAACATAAACTAATTATTCCAAACATGGAATTAGGCACTTCTGATGGTAAAGAAATAATGTCATGCTACCGCCAAGGATTTCGCTCATGTGGTATTGCCCAAATGGGCAATAATGTGTGCGTTCGAGAGTGATTACCTACTAAGAAGAAGATGTTTTGCAGGTTGTATCTTTAGCGATTCTATTAGATCAAATAAACTTGGTCAATTCAATTGTATATCATTGTTGTGATGCAGAAATCTTTTCCTTGGATATAATTTACGTCTTGTCTTGTTTTGTTTTAGGAACTTGAGTATCTAGTTGGAGCTGTGGCAAATCCCAAGAGGCCATTTGCTGCAATTGTCGGTGGCTCTAAGTTATCATCCAAGTTTGGTGTGATTGATTCATTATTGGGGAAGGTTGACACCCTCTTGTTGGGTGGCGGGATGATATTTACCTTCTACAAGGCCCAAGGGCACAAAGTTGGATCATCACTTGTGGAGGAAGACAAGCTTGATCTTGCAACATCACTCCTGGAGAAGGCCAAGTCCAAAGGGGTGTCTCTACTGCTTCCTTCTGATGTGGTTATTGCCGACAAGTTTGCTCCTGATGCCAACAGCAGGGTTAATAATATATTTACTTTTTCATACTTCAATCATGCTTAGATTACTTAGAAATGAAATTTTACCAATAACTCGGGCTCTGCCTCCATAGTAGTTTTTTGTTAGTATGGCTGTGATTTTGTGTATGCATACTTGATTGCTGAACTAACTACCAAGATTCATTGTGAAAATTTGGGTACAAGGGAGTTGAACCTCATTTCAAATTTGTGCAGGTTGTCCCAGTATCTGGTATCCCTGATGGATGGATGGGATTGGATATTGGTCCTGATTCTGTCAAAACATTCAGTGAATCTTTGGATACTGCAAAAACCATCATCTGGAATGGACCTATGGGTGTGTTCGAGTTTGAGGAGTTTGCAGTTGGAACAGAGGTGAGCGCTTGCATGGGTGATGATTTTTTTAACCTTTTGCCATTATGGTATCATTTCTACTCTATGATTATGCGAATTATTACTAGTTATTGGCGCTCTGTTTGAATTTAAGTCATGTCTGCCTTTGTTGTTGCTTGTTTATGAAAAGGTATTTGTTGCATTTTTTTTCTGTTTAAATTACTACTAATAACTTTATGGTGCTAGCTTTTTGACTTCTCATTGTATGATTCATTATTGTAAAGCGTAGCTTTGAAGGTTTTAATTAAAAAATGGATTATTACCTGGACTTTTGGATTCTTAATTATTTATTATTTTTTGGAGTCAAGGTCATGATGTATTGTAAAAATGAGTTACCAAAATGCTAATGTGCAACAAAATCACGTAAATTCTACTCTTGCATTGATTTTTTTTTTTTTTTTTGGACAACTTTAATGACATGATCTGCACAAAAAATGGTATTTTTTTTTTTTTTTTTTTTGAAAAATAAAACAACTGACATTAGATGGTTAAAAAGATTTCAAAGTTTGGGCCGTAGCCCATAGTCGATTAATTACAAACAAGCCCAGTTGGGCAGCAGGGGCACAGGCCCAACCTAAAATAACCTAACATTCAAAAACTGTCAAAATGGTACTTGTGTGCACAAAAGTGGTACCTCTATGCCCCATAAGAGTGATACTTACATACACAAAAGTAGTACCTAAAAATCATAAGGGTAGTTTGGTCAAATGAAAAATAATTTTTATATCCATGTCAACAATTTGGTCAACTTCATTTTTTTTTCGTAACTTAGTAACTTTGACTCCATAAAATGCTAGAAAGTGTCCATATTCCATGTACACCTAATAATCCAAATAAAATAAAATTTTGAAGATTTTTAAAAAATGATTACTATTATTTTTTAAAACCTGAAATGAATTGAAAAACATTTAGAAAGAAAAAAAAACTATTAAATTTATAGAAAATGAAAAAAATAAATTAATAATTTGATTTATTAGATAAATAAACAAAAACTATTTATTTTTCAGCATCATAGTTCGGAGTTTCAATTCCACGTTCAACAAATTTAGTTTAATAATTCTAAAGTCTTCTAATTCACAAAGAAATTAGTTATATATTGTTGTTGGGGATATTAATTCCTCACAACTTACGCACCGACCAGCTATTGTTGAGAATTAAATCCCTCACATCAACATAAGTATATATAGAAGTAACAATTATACATTTCAACCACAACATAATATTTTATATGGTTTACTCAACTTTCATAAAATAAAAAAATTAAATAAAAAAATAAATTTATTAGATAAATAAACCTAAATGATGTAATTATTGGTATCATAATTCCGAGTTTATCGCAGACAATTCAATTTTTATCAAATTTAGTTTAGAAATTATAAAGTCTTGTAATATACATAAAAATTAACTCTCTATTTGTTTTAAAATTTATATAAATTCAACATGCTTAATATTAGAAACAAAAACTTGAAAAAATAAACTTAAGAGAGAATTTATGAAAGTGAAAATTTGAAAAGTTAGTATTCATTTAATTTAGAACTCATCATATTTTATTTTAGACGTATTAATTTATTTATGTTTTCAATTTGAAAAAAAAGTAATTTTATTTAAAATCAATTTACTTTGTAAATAAACAACAAATTTTATCGACTCCAATTCTATGATAACCAAAATTACAGAAAAGTGAAGTTTCGGCGGTCTATATACCCAGAGATATACCCAGATATGTCTCTAGAGTCAAAGTCAACATTTTTTTAAAGCCATAAACTTTGACCAAAGTTTGATGTGAATATAAAGAAACACTGTTTATTTGTCTAAATTTTTCTTAATATCTTTGGGTACCACTTTTGTGCACGTAAGTACAATTTTTATGCATACCAAATAATCAAAATGGTCCGCATAATAAGTGGTATCTTTGAGCACAAGAGTAATTCTTACATGCACACACACGTGGTACCATAAAAAGTGATACCACGTAAAAGTGTTATCTCTATACACAAGAGTCTTATTTACATGCACAAAAGTGGTATTTAAAAATACTAAAGTAACTTTGGACAAATGAATAATATTTTTTCAAATCCACGTAAGACTCTAGTGGACTTTGAAAAGTATTGATTTTAATTCCATCTACTGGTAATTAGACTTCCAACTAAGAATGTTCCGGTGTTGACCAGGCTCCTCTTTTGACTGAAACGGTAAGATTTTACAAGGTAATTAACTATTTCACTCTTTATCAAGGTTGTCACACCAAAGTACAGCTTGCCACCCCTTGCTCAATTTGGCAAGAGAATCAGTCTGAACGAGCACGTTGTGGCCAAAGTGGAAGAAATCAGTCTGAATGAGCACATGGTGGCCAAAATAGAAGAATGTTCCGGTGTTGAAGAGCAAGAAAGCAGCGGAAAAAGAAAAGAAAAGGCAGACAGTCAACCCAAACAGCAGCCTGTTACTGAACAACAGGCTGCCAAATTCTTTACGATCTTGGAAAGTATTGAGTGCTTCAGCAAGATAGACAACCAAATCCCTCTAGTCAATCTGCTCCTCTGCCCAGAGAGACTACACTTTAAATGGTTCATGGAAGTACTGAACCAGGCATCCGTCCCAAGCAATTTAACAACTGAACAATTGGTAAAGGTTGCGCGCCAGGCATTGGCTTACAATATGATCACTTTCCATGACAACGAACTCATCATTGGTGGAGCTGACCATAATCACAGCCTCCATATAACAGTACAATTCAATGAAATGTCAATAGATAAGGTAGCTATTGACAATGGTTCTGGATATGATATTTGTCCGTTGGGGATGCTTACAAAGATAGGCATGAAGAAACACATTCGCTATGGAAGAAAGTTGGTGGGTGGGTATGACGGAGCTCATCGCGAGACGCTTGGCCAAATTCAACTCTCTCTCGCAATTGGCGGCATCACCTTTCCTATCAATTTTGAAATATTCCACCGTATTTCCCCATTGCATAACCTCATTCTAGGGCGGCCTTGGATCCATAATGCTGGGGCAGTCCCCTCAAGTCTCCATCAAAGCGTCAAGTTTGTTTCCAACCACGACTCAGTCATAGTCTATGGGGACAAAATTAGCTCTGCAGTGCGCTCGCCACCTGGTTTTTTTGTCAACACTATCAGTGAGCCCTCATCTTACCAGACATTTGGAACAGCAATGGCTTCGCATGTGCCTGAAGGAAGCCAATCTCGTCCTCAACCAAGGTTCTCGAATAACACTCACCAAATGCCTTGGAACTATATCTTTAAAAGGATCACTGATCAATCTGGTAAGAGAATCACTCTTTGTGACCAGGTTGTGGCCACAGTAGAAGAATCAGGGTACGAACACAATCAACCCATACAAGTTGTGACCACTGAACAAGAGCCTGTCAAATTCTTTAAGATCTCGAAAAGGAGCGAGTTTAAAGTGGAAACGAACCTCAGCAAGATGCCGAACCAAACCTCTCTACTCGTCCTGCTCCTCACCTCAAACACACACCTTAATTGTTTCTTGGAAGTACTGAAGGAGGCTCACGTCCCAAGCAATTTCACAGCTAAACAATTGAAAAAGATGATGGGGAATGCACTTGCTTACAATACGATCACTTTCCCTGACAATGAACTGCTGGTTGATGGAAATAAGCATAATTATGCCCTGCATGTGACAGTGCAGTTCAATGGAAAGGATATAGATTCGGTACTTATCGATAATGGGTCTGCTTTTAATATTTGTCCACGGGAGACCCTTAAACAGATTGGAATGGAGAAACAACTTCAACGCAGCAGTGTGACGGCGGGTGCTTTTGATGGAGATAAACTCCGGGCGGTTGGCCAAATCGAACTCCCTCTTACAATAGGTCCCACCACATTTCCTGTTAAATTCCAAGTATTTGACATTTGTACCGAATACCAACTCCTCCTAGGACGGCCTTGGATCCATAATGCTCGGGCAGTGCCCTCAAGTCTCCATCAAAGTGTCAAGTTCGTTTCCAACGACGACTTGGTTACAGTCTATGCCGAAGAAAGCTTTGTAGTGCGCTCATCACCTGGGCTTGGAGTCAACACCGTCATTTGGAATGGACCTATGGGTGTGTTCGATTTTGCATCTGGAACAGAGGTTAGAGATTAGATTATTATGGCCCTTCGAATAATAATATAGATTACATAACTCCGGAATTGAATTGTGGCAATTTATAACTTGCAGGCTATTGCAAAGAAGTTGGCAGAGCTTAGTGGCAAAGGGGTGACAACAATTGTTGGAGGAGGCGACTCTGTTGCGGCTGTTGAGACGGTTGGGCTTGCAGACAAGATGAGCCACATCTCAACCGGCGGTGCTGCCAGCTTGGAGCTCCTTCAGGGCAAACCACTCCCCGGAGTTCTTGCCCTCGATGATGCTTGATCCAAGTTTTGTCCTTCCATCTATTTGCTTAATTTTGTCTGGAATTTTAATCAGACTGATCATGGACGTGTTTATTTATATGGATTGATGGATCTGAAATATTCTCTATTATGGAACAATAGTGTTAATAATGTTGGGGCTCAGCTCATTTATAGATGGACGTGGTTACTTTTTAATGCAATTTATTGGATGAAATTTATGCAATAAGCATCATTCATTGATTGACCTGATGATCTTTAATAATTTCATTTCCTAAAATCTATGTTAGTTTCTGAAGTTAAAAAAACACATTTTTATGAATAAAAAATACAGTATATTTTACCAAAAATGGTTTATGCATTCTCAATTTACCTTAATACCCTTGCTGAAGCTTTTAAAAAAACATTGCTAAGGCATAAGCATATATAAGTTCAAAAATACAAATTCACGTTGGAAGCTAACAAGTAATAATAGACCTACATTTTTATTCAAATACAAGCTTTCGATTAGGGCTGCAACAAAATTGGGTTGTTCGCATAATTTAATTTAACGGTTTAAAAGCTCGGTTCGTGTTTGATCACTCTTAACATATGACCAGTTTTGAGCTGAATTTTCAGACTCCATCTCTAAAGGAGCTGAGCCCCAACATTATCTAGCACAACTCATAGCTCCCTAGTCACTATAGGCTCATGAACAAAACCATAAAATCTCAGGCCCATGCTCCATTAGTCCACGTCCACACTTTTGTTCAAGCCCAAGTGAATTACTGTGTTGAATATAGGTTGGATACTTCACTGTATCTTAACACCATTCCTCAACTACTTCTCAACCTTGTGAAGATTCACTTCTTGTCATTCCCAAAAGTCATGTTCTTGACTTACCAAATTTAGAATTCTCTCTTTGTACTACTACTCGTGCTTGTCAAAATAAAGAGGTTCAAACACAATTTCATTGATGAGTTGGGAAGGAACATATCAGTACAAGAAGAGCAACCTAAGGTTAGTCTATATATATATATATACATATGCGCTTAGATATGTTTAAGTGAGAATCATGGGTCGCACCTGAAACATATCTATCTAATAGCAAATAAGTCTTGGGCTTATCTTTTAGGCAAGTTCTACCTCTGTTTGAATTTAAGTTATGTATGCTTTAATAGTTGTTTGCTCAAGGAAGGGTTTTTGTTGGATTTTTAAAACCTTTTCTATTCAAGCTAATAAGTAATACCTGTTGTTGCTAGCTTTTGACTTCTCATGGTATTAATCATTATTATACAAGTGAGTAGTTTTTGCTAATTTCGTTGTTACAAAATGTGTGTTCCATACTTCATTTCATATGCTGATTATTTTATTAGCCCATATTAGGTGTTCAGTTCATACTATTTTTCTGTGGGTTTCAATTGTAAATTTCATCATAAAGAATTGTAAAATGGGTTTATATATAGATGCATGTTTTTTTGAAGGAGTACTTTTGAATTTTAGAAATCGATGTGATTGCACTTTCTTGCTAATGATGATTGCATTTCAGTGTATGGATACCTACTTTGCACTGCTTAAAGGCTTATATATAATTTGCATGGGTTTTTCTCATGCCTTTCAAGCCTTCCCTTGTAAGATAGGGAGTATTGATTCTGGTAGAAGAGTTTGCCATGCTTGATGGTCTCACTGTTTTGTTGCTTTTTATGCCTTTTTTGTGTTTGCTTTAGTCTCTGATTTTGTTTTATCCTGTTTCCAGTTGCTGTATGTTGCGATTTATGGTTTCATTGTTTTGTTGTTTGCATGATTTTGTTTATTTGATTTATAATTTGTTTATTTCTGCCACAATATTTTAAATGAAAAATAAAAGAATCATGTGTGGCACCAAAATAAAGGCAAGGATGATGATTGGTGGAGCAAATTGTTGATTTTATTACTATAAGGGGACAACAGGCCAGAAACTTCCATTAAGGATTGAAGTTTCCTCCACAGTTTCTTTTACTAGTCATAAATGAGACTACATTAGTTTAATTTACGATGTTAAGAAGTGCATTTGGACCCTAATGTTGTTAAGGATGACCTTCATGTTTCTATATTGCTTATTTTATGCAATTGAAGTTAGGCATTTTTCGAGGTTGATTTTGTAGCATCTTGTTCCAAAGGCCATCAGATTGGAAGTGTCCAAATTCAAAAAATAAAAAACAAAAGAAGTTGTTAATAGTCTTTTTAGTGGATTTCTATTTCCTTTTTGTATTGGTTTATTTAATAGTTTTACAAGTGGTAACTTTGTTGTTCGTTATCTTGAATTGTGGGTTTCAGGGGCGCCCAAAGGGTGTAACACCAAAGTACAGCTTGAAGCCTCTTGTGCCAAGGCTGTCTGAACTCCTTGGAGTTGAGGTTTGTGTTAACTTTGTTGTTCGTTATCTTGAATTGTGGGTTTCAGGGGCGCCCAAAGGGTGTAACACCAAAGTACAGCTTGAAGCCTCTTGTGCCAAGGCTGTCTGAACTCCTTGGAGTTGAGGTTTGTGTTTTTTCATTACATTTAAGTTGAGCATCACTTTTCTGTTGTTTGCATCTGCATCTAAATGAGGCTCTATTTGCTCACCATGCTCATGTGCCTTCAAAAGGTCAAGATGGCAAATGATTGTATTGGCCAAGAAGTTGAAAAAATGGTGGCTGAAATTCCTGAAGGGGGTGTTCTTCTGCTGGAGAACGTGAGGCTCTACAAAGAGGAAGAGAAGAATGATCCAGAATTTGCAAAGAAGTTAGCATCCCTTGCAGACCTGTATGTTAATGATGCATTTGGCACTGCTCGTAGAGCCCATGCTTACACAGAGGGAGTGGCCAAGTTCTTGAAGCCGGCTGGTACTGGATTCCTTATGCAGAAGGTTTGTAGTTTATGTCTTAAATTGGTTCACATCACTTTTTGCTCATTTATTCAAGAAAAGACATCCATGCATTTATATAAATGAACAAAAGACATAGATTAATCCTAGATTCAAACTTATACAGAGCGGAAATTTTAAGCATGTGATTATTTATTTGGACTGTAAGGGATGGTCTTCAGGGATTCCCAATTTTTTTATTATGTTGTTATTACTGGGAAGTCATTTATAATGTCGTTGGTTGATTGATTATATATCTAAAAGTGCAAAATGCAAATAGCTTTATGCGGTTGGGTAGAGAAGCCAAAAAGTTATCGGCCTGGTAGACCAAAAGACTGTTATGTCCTTCTACATGGGTATGCAGCACTCGCAGTTAGGAGGTGTGGGTTGAGCTGGTTTAGCCTTGATTTAGATTAACGGGTTTGGTTTTTCCAAAGATTTAACCTTGCTCTGCTAGGATTAAATGCTAATGTGAGCAGATGTTGAGCCATTTCATCAACCCAATGAAATATTTCATTAGTTGAACACAAATTGTGAAAAATTGATTATTTTAAAAGCCTAGGCTAGTCTGTGAACAGCTTGGCGAGCTTGTGCTCGAGCTTGGCTTGTTTAGCTCAATATAAGCTTGACAAAGCCGTTGAATGAGGCCGAGTTTAAGCTTTTTTAAGTTGATTAGTTTCATTTTTAAGCTCTAGAAAAGAGTAGACTGTCTTGTCACTGCGTTTAATAGACTCAAAACCGACCTATCCTAATGACGCCAAACATGGAATTAGGCACTTTTAATGGCAAAGAAACAATGCTCTGTTACCACCATGGCTTTTGCTCGAGGATGAGGTTGAGGTTGAAGTCCCCATTGGGGGCAAAAGTGGGGGTGTGTATGTGAGTGATTACCTACCAAAAAGAAAACGTTTTGCAGGTTGGATCCTTGGCAATTATTTTGGATCAAATTAACATGGTTAAGTTCAATTGTATGGTATTGCTGTACTTATCCAAATAAAAGAAAAATGAATGTCATTGTTGTGATGCAGATTTTTTTTTTTTTTTTTCTTTCTGGGATATAGCTTACATCTTCACTTGTTTGGCATGGTTTTAGGAACTTGAATATCTAGTTGGAGCTGTGTCATATCCCAAGAGGCCATTTGCTGCAATTGTTGGTGGCTCTAAGGTGTCAAGCAAGATTGGCGTGATCGAGTCATTATTGGGGAAGGTTGATATCCTCTTGCTTGGTGGTGGAATGATATTTACCTTTTACAAGGCCCAAGGGCACTCTGTTGGATCATCACTTGTGGAGGAAGACAAGCTTGATCTTGCAACATCACTTCTCGAGAAGGCCAAGTCTAAAGGGGTGTCTCTACTGCTTCCTTCTGACGTGGTTATTGCTGACAAGTTTGTCCCGATGCCAACAGCAAGGTAATATCTTTGCTTTTCATTGCCGAGGAGTCATGCATCCGAGATTAGTTATAAATGAAATTTTACCAAATACTTGATCTTCCAAATCCGGAGTTTTTCAGTTTGATACATAGTAGTAATTTTTTTTAGTTTCAAGTGAGTAAAGTGGTTTGAGAAATTACTGTCCAGCCTTTTTACCAGACATGTATGCCTGTGATTTTCTGTGTTAAATAAAAGAGATAGAGAGACAGACATATATGAAATTGTAAGATTCTGTATATTGAAGTGTGTTTGAATCATGTACAAGGAGAGGTATAAATAGGTGAGAGATCACCAACGGCTATACAATAATCAAGGCATTAATCTATACAACGGCTATAGTATAACCTAACTATGGTAACAATCTATACAACGGCTATAATCTAATTATGTTAACATTCTGTATTCTGGGTAAATACCTGATTTGATTGCAGAACTAACTACCAAAACTTAGATATAGTGCTCTGCAAGGAAACATGGAATGATCCACCTTATTCACAAGATTTATTGTGAAAAATTGGGTATAAGAGAGTCAAATGTTATTTCAACTTTTTGCAGATTGTCCCAGCATCTGCTATCCCTGATGAGTAGATGGGATTGGATATTGGTCCTGATTCCATCAAAACATTCAGTGAATCTTTGGATACTACAAAGACCGTCATTTGGAATGGACCTATGGGTGTGTTCGAGTTTGAGAAGTTTGCAGCTGGAACAGAGGTATGGACTGCCATAACCTTGCATTGGTGAGGATTGTTTAATAACTTTATTAGGTTTTTCCCATTATGATATCATGCTCCTCTTTATTCTGCATATTATATGTTCCTGTTCAACTCTTATAATAGCTTTAGATTCTATCTTTCGAATAATAATATAAGATTATTTTACAAAGG